GCAAACGTGCATAAACGCGGTATGCAAACGCGGCTAAACAGACGTTTTTTGACCTACGTTTTCAGTTTCCATCGTTCAGAAGAGTTTTCCAAACACCCCGTGTACATGGAGCCCTAACAGTATAGATTTGATAAACAGCACAAATGTTGTGTGAGATAATAAATTGCAGCTGACACCATTTATTTCTTTCAGGGTCTCTGCTTTGAGTAAAGATATGTTTTGGGTTTTTTAAGTTCATTTTCATGTAAAATAAAAAATGTTTATTTTACCCTGGGTTTATTTATTTTCAGGTACTTATATAGCACCGTCCATTTATGCAGCACTTTACATATGTATTGTACATTCACATCAGTCCCGCCCCCGAGGAGCGTACAATCTAAGGTCCCTAACTCACATTCATACATACACATACTAGGGGCCAATTTAGACAGGAGCCAATTCACCAACCAGTATGTCTTTGGAGTGTGGGTGGGGGTGGAAACCGGAGTACCTGGAGGAAACCCACACAGGCACCGGGAGAACATGCAAACTCCAGGCAGGAGGTGCTGTGGCTGGGATTCAAACCAACGACTCTAGTACTGCCAGGCAGAAGTGCTAACCATTTAGCCACTGTGCAGCATTTTGCAGAAACACAGTACAGTCCATTTAACACGATTACCTATGGGACATGTTCACATCCAGGGGTGGACTGACCATTTGAAAACTGCCGAGGGCCCGGGGTCAGTAGGGGGCCCCATGAGATGCCCCTGGTACCTTTTTCATAGGCTTTTTTGAGTTTGGGCAAGGACACAGGGGCCCCATGATCCCCTATTGCCCAGGGGCCCCATGAGTTGTCAGTCCACCCCTGTTCACATCTGCACGTTTTCACGCGGTGCGTTTTTTGGAAAGGGTCAGGGACTTTTGTGGATGCAAAAAGTTGCGCTTTTGGGGTTCTATAGACTTCAATGGAAAAGCTGCAGAAAAGCATGTAATGAGTTTTTTGCTGCCTTTTGATGCATTTTACATTTTTAAATCTGCCTAGCAACAAGAAAAAAGCAAAAAGTGAAAAAAAAAACGCAAAACACATAAAAAAAAGTGGCAAAGACCTGTCAGAAACTCAGGTGCAAAACTCAATGCAGAAACTGTTCAAACGCAACCTGCATAGGTGTGAACCCGGCCTAAGTATGTGATGCAAAATGAAATGGCAGGAAAAGGGTTCAAGCAAAGCTCCAGCCTAGCTCTACGTGAGAACAAGTTAGGGTTGCAGAGCTGTTTTCTCGCTGCCGGGGAAATTTCTGTTTATTGGAAGTCATTTTTTTTTCTTAAATATAGGAATCACTTACCCCTCCTTCGGGGTAGGTTGCCCAGCCAATCTCTGAGGTCTCATAGGTCGTGTCAAGTAGGACTTCTGAAAAAAAAAAAAAAAAAAAAAAAAAAAAGCAACAGAATAATTTTTTCCCATCAACTGTAGTAAACGTTGGATTTTAAATAAATGATTCCTGTGCACAGTTTACAGTTCCTTGGGCATCCCATGCATCCCTCAACCCCATCCAAGTTCAATACCCTTTAATCAGTGGCGTCCATAGGTGGGTGCGGGGTTGCGTACCGCACCGGGTGACACCTATCACATGGGGTGACACCGGACCTGCTCCACGAGCTCCACGAAAAGGAAAGTTTTACAGCAAGCCGACAATCCCCGCAGGATGGATGGGATCTGCGGATTGGGGAGCATAATTTCCTTTTCGTGGAGCTCGTGGAGCGGGTCCGGTGTCACCCCATGTGAAAGGTGTCACCCGGTGCTGTGCGCACCCCCCACACCCGCCTAGGGACACCACTGATTAAGGGGTATTGAACTTGGATGGGGTTGAGGGAGGGGCGGACTGACAACTCATGGGGCCCCCGGGCAATAGGGGATCATGGGGCCCCCGGGCGATAGGGGATCGTGGGAAGCCTATGAAAAAGGTACCAGGGGCATCTCATGGGGCCCCCTATTGACCCCAGCCCCTCGGGCAGTGCCTGAGTTTCCAAATGGTCAGTCCGCCCCTGGGTTGAGGGATGCATGGGATGCCCAAGGAACTGTAAACTGCGAGGACTATCTCCTTAACAACTATGTACAAGTCTATGGACATGCAAGAAAAATTCTGTCTCTTCTCTGAGAGCGTTCCAGCTCTCCGGTGTACCTCCTCAGACCCCAGGTTAAACTTCTTCTTCACCCAACTGCACTGAGGGTATTCCCCTGTGAAGGAGATCCAGAAGATGCCAAACTCAAAAAGTCCCGGCTGAGGAGCTAGTTGGGTTCTCCACCCAGAGCCGTGGATAAGGGGGTACCACCAGCCCTCCTGTACGGGGCCCAGGCCAGCAGGGGGGCCCAGGCAGCTGAGTAAATCGATTCTGCGTAGGGAGGGTGATCGGCACGGTGGGAGTGCAATTACTGGAACCGATCCCCTGAGCTCTCTCTGTAACAGCTGATGACCGGCGTCTTCTTCTCTCCGTCCTGGTGGCGTTCAGCTTCAGCTGCTGCAGAGAGAGCCATACAGGGGATCAATTCCAGAAATTGTCCCCCCCCCCCCCCCCCGCCATTGCACAAATCGCCTCCTTGTGTCCTTGTGCACCATACATTTGCCCATGTTGCCCAAGCCCCTGTGTGCCCACCCCCATAATGCTCCTTGGTTCCTTCCTCTCCTTCCCTCCGGTAACTGCAGCCAGGGGTGGACTGACCATTTGGAAACTCAGGCACTGCCCGAGGGCCCGGGGTCAGTAGGGGGCCCCATGAGATGCCCCTGGTACCTTTTGCATAGGCTTTTTTGAGTTTTGGCAAGGACACAGGGGCCCCATGATCCCCTATTGCCCGGGGGCCCCATGAGTTGTCAGTCCGCCCCTGACTGCAAGCTTACAATAGGGTCCTTCAGAATGATGAACACAATGAGTAATTGGTACTGATTACTCTGTGTTCATTCCTAACTGAAGCAAAGTTTTGGTTTTTTTTTGGGGGGGGGGGGCTGTCAGGTTTGCTGTATGGGGCCCTATGGGGCCTTGTCTCCACCTGACTGACCTCTCCCCTTATCCGGCCTAGGGGGTGTAAGGTTACTCATACTGTCCTTCCTAATGGCTTTATGGGTTGGTGGCTGCCTTCAGGCCTTCTGCTGGGCGGGCTCCTTCCCTGCTGCTCAGGCTGTCCCTCTTGGTCGATGGTGGTGCAGTGGAAGTCCCCTGTTCACGCACCTGCCTGTAGGTAGGCTCTTTCCCTGGGCCCCCTCCCAGGTTCCACACTCCAGCCTCTCACTCTATCTTCCACCCGACATCGACTGACCACTTTCTGCTGATCAGGTTCAATCATACCTCAGGGCTGTCCTGACCCCATGCCAAGCCTCCTGCTTGGGGATTTGTCAAGATCTGTCACACATGCAGATCAGCCCCTCCTCACCCCCACCCACTGCCTTCTAGAAACTTCTCAAGGTTCTAGAGTAGGGGGGAAGTAACAGGAAACTGACCTGCAGAGCCCTCAGCCCTGACTTAAGTTACCTGGCTGACTCATCCCAGGCTGCTACTCTTCCTCTAACTAAAAACCTATCTAGCTTCCCCTGGCTAAGTAGAGGGGTGCTACACATGAATCCTTTGCCCTTACTCAAGCTGGCCATGGCCATAAATACTAGAGGGGTGTTTTACAACAAAATAAAGCATGGAGACATGGATGGATGGATGGATGGATGGGAGAGTGTGCTTTGAAAATTAAAAATGAATTAAGTAGCATTTTTGGTTTGTGATGCTCAGATGCAGTTCCACTTTAGTGTTATTGCTTCATAATATACATGCTAATCGGGCGAGACGGGGGGGGGGGGGGGGGGGGGGGGGGGGGGGGGGGGGTGAAAAAAAAAGGTTTGGTGCCAGGGCCCTAACTGAACATTTAGATTTCTAAAGCGTTGTGTATCATAAACAACTCATCCTAACAAAAATACTTTCTTAAAGTGCAACTAAACCCCCAGCAGTACAATCAGTCTGTAGATGCAGTAAAGCATGCTTGTTATACTCACTGAGGAACCTAAGGGGTTAATACTCTGCATTGTGTAAAAAGGCTGTTTGATCCTGTCTTCTCTGATCCTCCTCTTCTGCCAATGCCCCCCCCCCCCCCCACTCTGATCTCCTGATAAGACATAAGGTGTGGAGTCACTCTGTGCATGCTCATTTTGGTGTGTATTGCTAGAGAGTTCTTTTTCTTGGAAGAGTGCTTGTGATCAGCACAGGGCCAATCAGCACTATCCAGACAGAGGGTCAGGGGTTATGCAGCCTCACAAGCACAGTCAGAGGAGAATGAAAACTCCTCCTACAAGCTTTAACCAGTGCTCTGTTGGACACTGATAGAAGTCACAAGACTGCTATATACTGCTGATGAGAGAAAAGGTATTTAGCAGTTTATATTTATTATAAAAATTGCATTTCCATGTTCTGTGTACTGTGGGAGACCAGATATAGTGAATGCAGGGTCCTGGGAGAGCGGATATAGTGAATGCAGGGTCTGGGGAGAGCAGATATAGTGAATGCAGGGTGCGGGGGGAGACCAGATATAGTGAATGCAGGGTCCGGGGAGACCAGATATAGTGAATGCAGGGTCCGGGGAGACCAGATATAGTGAATGCAGGGTGCGGGGAGACCAGATATAGTGAATGCAGGGTCCAGGGAGACCAGATACAGTGAATGCAGGGGCCGGGGGGAGACCAGAGCGGGATACAGTGAATGCAGGGTCCGGGGAGAGCGGATACAGTGAATGCAGGGTCCGGGGAGACTGGATATAGTGAATGCAGGATCTGGGGAGAGCGGATTAAAGTGAATGTAGGGTCTGGGGAGACTGGATACAGTGGATGCAGGGTCCGGGGAGACCAGATATAGTGAATGCAGGGTGCTGGGAGACCAGATATAGTGACTGCAGGGTCCGGGGGAGACCAGATATAGTGAATGCAGGGGCCGGGGAGACCAGATACAGTGAATGCAGGGTCCGGGGGAGAGCGGATACAGTGAATGCAGGGTCTGGGGAGACCGGATACAGTGAATGCAGGGTCCGGGGAGAGCGGATACAGTGAATGCAGGGTGCGGGGAGACTTGGGATATAGTGAATGCAGGATCTGGGGAGAGCGGATTAAAGTGAATGTAGGGTTTGGGGAGACTGGAATACAGTGGATAATGAATGCAGGGTCGGGGGAGACCAGATATAGTGAATGCAGGGTGCTGGGAGACCAGATATAGTGACTGCAGGGTCCGGGGGAGACCAGATATAGTGAATGCAGGGTCCGGGAGACCAGATATAGTGAATGCAGGGTCTGGGGAGACTGGATATAGTGAATGCAGGGTCCGGGGAGACCGGATATAGTGAATGCAGGGTCCGGGCTGGGAGACCAGATATAGTGAATGCAGGGTCCGGGGAGAGCAGATATAGTGAATGCAGGGTCCTTGGTGACCAGATATAGTGAATGCAGGGTCTGGGGAGACTGGATATAGTGAATGCAGGGTCCGGGGAGACGGATATAGTGAATGCGGGGTCCTTGGAGACCAGATATAGTGAATGCAGGGTGCTGGGGAGACCAGATATAGTGAATGCAGTGTGCTGGGAGACCAGATATAGTGAATGCAGGGTCCGGGAGACTAGATATAGTGAATGTAGGGTCCTGGGAGACCAGATATAGTGAATGCAGGATCTGGGGAGATCAGATATAGTGAATGCAGGTCCAAGGAGACCGGATATAGTGAATGCAGGTCCGGGGAGAGGAGACCGGATAGGGTCCAGGGGGACCGGATATAGTGAATGCAGGGTCCGGGGAGAGCGGATATAGTGAATGCAGGGTCCAGGGGGAGACCAGATATAGTGGATGCAGGGTCCAGGGGGGACCGGATATAGTGAATGCAGGGTCCGGGGGAGAGCGGATATAGTGAATGCAGGGTCCGGGGAGACGGGGGATATAGTGAAATGCAGGGTCCTGGGAAAGCGGATATAGTGAATGCAGGGTCCGGGGATACTAGATATAGTGAATGCAGGGTCCGGGGAGACCAGATATAGTGAATCCTGGGTCCGGGGAGACCAGATATAGTGAATGCAGGATCCAGGGAGACCGGATATAGTAATGCAGGGTCCGGGGAGACCAGATATAGTGGATGCAAGGTCCGGGGAGACCAGATATAGTGAATGCAGGGTCTGGGGAGACTGGATATAGTGAATGTCGGATCCTGGATTTAGTAACACAATAATCACTTGTTGCATCTCAGTGCTGCTGATCTCCTGACGCTCTTTTGCAGCCACTTCCTGTCTATAGTCACTACACTAACAGCTGCACGGCATTTCTCAGGCTGGGTTTCCTGATGGTGACATCGGTGGACTGTGCCGGCATAAAGTGAAACAGTCACTTTGTGGTTTCCATTGAGAGTCCATGTGACAGGGTGACAACACAGGAGGAAAATTGGGAGTCAGGGGCATAGCGTTGTCACCTTTATAACAGGAGGATCACAAGGCAGGATCACAAAGGAATATTTTAACGAAAGCTGCAGATTTAAAAAGACAGAAAATGACTTTTATGCAATGACATGACCACGTTAAAGCGCTGAGATTGCAGGGATCGGGATTACACCGGCTTTTCTACTATTATATGATTGATATTTCCTATGAGCGCCGGCCGTACTTCATTCTATTCTCTTTTTTTTTTTTTTTTCCCCTTCTGTCTTCTTTTTGATTTCCCTTCCGTGCTAAGGTCTGCATTCACTAATCTGCTGGAGTGGAAAGTAGGTCATAATTCTATAGCAGCTGAGTCCAGCCTGGTCCGGCCTCTATATGGTGTGACTGACGGCGGCTGCTGTGCGTTGTCAGGGATGCCTGACGTAAACCCGGTGGCGCTCCCCAGCGATGGATTCTCGCACGGAACATCGTGTTGGTGAAATGTTTTTGGCGTCGCACTTCCCGTAGCTCCTGGGGGAAACCAGAACACAGCCGTCCATGTGTCGGCTCGAGACCGCGGGCTTGTGAATAAGGAATGAAGCTGAACAATGCAACAGCGGGGAGGGGGGGATTTGGGGAGAGAGCAGCTGCGGCGGTGTCATACAGTGCAGGCGGTACTACAACTCCCAGCCAGAAAGACGTAGAGGAACCGACAAGCCCGGGATGTCATGTGACCTTTCATGAACTGCCATTGTAGGAGGTTTTGAAGCATTTTTGCATTTAAAAAAGCGCCTGAAAAGCTCAAGAAAAACGCTTCCCTATGTCTGTGAATGTATATCTATGTATGTTTTCACACTGAGGCGTTGCGCTTGCGGGGCGGTGTAAAAACTCCCGCTTGCAGCAACTTTGGGGCATGTTTAGGAAGTTAAAAAAAATGCCCCAAAAACACCTTTTCCCATTGAAATCGATGTAAAACAGGAAGTTAAAAAAAAATGCGCCAAAAACGCCTCTTCCCATTGAAATCGATGTAAAACGGGAAGTTAAAAAAAAAAAACCCAAAAACGCCTCTTCCCATTGAAATCGATGTGAAACGGGAAGTTAAAAAAAAAACCCCCAAAAACGCCTCTTCCCATTGAAATCGATGTGAAACGGGAAGTTAAAAAAAATTCACAAAAAAACGCCTTTTCCCATTGAAATCGATGTGAAACGGGAAGTTAAAAAAAATTCACAAAAAACGCCTTTTCCCATTGAAATCGATGTAAAAGGGGAAGTTAAAAAAATGCCCCAAAAACGCCTCTTCCCATTGAAATCGATGCAAAACAGGAAGTTAAAAAAAAAACCCCAAAAACTCCTTTTCCCATTAAAATCGATGTAAACTGGGAAGTTAAAAAAAAAGCCCCAAAAACGCCTCTTCCCATTGAAATCGATGTGAAACGGGAAGTTAAAAAAAATGCACAAAAAACGCCTTTTCCCATTGAAATCGATGTAAAATGGGAAGTTAAAAAAAATGCCCCAAAAACACCTTTTCCCATTGAAATCGATGTAAAACGGGAAGTTAAAAAAAATGCACAAAAAAAGTCTCTTCCCATTGAAATCGATGTAAACCGGGAAGTTAACAAAAATGCCCCAAAAACGCCTTTTTCCATTGAAATCGATGTAAAACGGCTAAAAAAATCGCCCGAAAAGCGCCTAAAAAAAAGCTTCTGGTGCATCTTTTAAGTCACCTGTCCTTTAAAAACGCTCAGAAAGCGTGGAAAAAGCGCATTAAAAACGCCTATGGGCTTGTTTACATCGGTGCAGTGATGGAAAGTGCGGGAAACTGCGCATTTTCCTGCAACGCGTAAAATTGCACTGCCTTCTTCAAACATGAGCAGGCGCCAGGGGCGGACTGACCATTTGGAAACTCGGGCACTGCCTGAGGGCCCGGGGTCAGTAGGGGGCCCCATGATATGCCCCTGGTACCTTTTTCATAGGCTTTTTTGAGTTTGGGCAAGGACACAGGGGCCCCATGATCCCCTATTGCCCGGGGGCCCCATGAGCTGTCAGTCCCCCCCTGGCAGGCGTACAAGCGTCACGGATGCCACAACACATGGCGGCACAGTACCGTGCGGTTTGGCATGCCTGACTTACTTTTTGCGCCTTCCGGCTAGGTTCACACCTATGCAGGTTGTATTTGAGCCGTTTCTGCATTGCATTTTACGATTTTTAGCACCTGCGTTTTTGCCACGTTTTTGATGCGTTTTTAAAATTTTTTCTTGTTGTTAGGCAGATTTAAAATGCCAAACGCAGCAAAAACACACTACATGCTTTCCTGCAGCATTTCCATTGAAGTCTATAGAACCAAAAACACGACTTTTTGCATTCTAAAAAACTCCCTGTCCCCTTCCCGAAAAACGCACCGGGTGAAAATGCGGAGATGTGAACGTGTCCCATAGGAAGTCATGTTAGATGAACTGTACTGCGCTGTAGAAAAACAATTCCGCCAGACATATAAAGTATCACCACACACGCTGGTGTGAGAGCAATCATTCTAGGCCCCGTAAACCGATGACCTGCAGTGCTGCCTATGGACTATTGAGGGCAGGGGCGGACGGACAACTCATGGGGCCCCCGGGCATTAGGGGATCATGGGGCCCCTGTGTCCTTGCCCACATCCAAAAGCCTTTGAAAAAGCCAATGAAAGGTACCAGGGGCATCTCATGGGGCCCCCTACTGACCCCGGGCCCTTGGGCTGTGCCCGAGTTTCCAAATGGTCAGTCCGCCCCTTGTTGCAGTTACCAGAGGGAAGGAGAGGAAGGAACCAAGGAGCATTATGGGGGTGGGCACACACAGAGGGGCTTGGGCAACATGGGCAAATGTATGGTGCACAAGGAGGTGATTTGTGCAATGGCGTGGAGGGGGGGGACAATTTCTGGAATTGATCCCCTGTATGGCTCTCTCTGCAGCAGCTGAGTGCTCGAATGGTCAGTCCGCCCCTGATTGAGGGGATGAAAGTTTGCCTTCATTTCAGGGGCGCACAGTTTTTAGACTTGACATGAATGGTATTGATTTGTTGGACACAGTTTCATCTTTTATAATTTACTAATAGAATGATGTTGAGTTTGTGTACGCTAACATTCCCATCCACTGCAACAGAAAAATGCAACTACCACCATTTTATTTCCAGGATCTTTGCTCTCAGGAAATGCCTGGAGGGGAATTTACAAAAACTGCAGCAGCCAGAATCTGGAATGGTTGTGAAGAGTGACCAACCAGCTTCTGGATTCTTCATTTCATTTTCAAAGCTTAGAGTGTTACTAAACCCCGGACCCTGCATTCACTATATCTGGTCTCCCCGGACCCTGCATTCACTATATCTGGTCTCCCCATACTCTGCATTCACTATATCTGGTCTCCCCAGACCCCGCATTCACTATATCCGGTCTCCCCGGACCCCGCATTCACTATATCTGGTCTCCCCGGACCCTGCATTCACTATATCTGGTCTCCCCACACTCTGCATTCACTATATCTGGTCTCCCCAGACCCCGCATTCACTATATCCGGTCTCCCCGGACCCCGCATTCACTATATCTGGTCTCCCCGGACCCTGCATTCACTATATCTGGTCTCCCCAGACCCTGCATTCACTATATCCGGTCTCCCCGGACCCTGCATACACTATATCTGGTCTCCCCGGACCCTGCATTCACTATATCCGGTCTCCCCGGACCCTGCATTCACTATATCTGTTCTCCCCGGACCCTGCATTCACTATATCTGTTCTCCCCGGACCCTGCATTCACTATATCCGGTCTCCCCGAACCCTGCATTCACCATATCTGGTCTCCTCGGACCCTGCATTCACTATATCCGGTCTCCCCGGACCCTGCATTCACTATATCCGGTCTCCCCGGACCCTGCATTCACTATATCCGGTCTCCCCGGACCCTGCATTCACTATATCTGCTCTCCCCGGACCCTGCATTCACTATATCCGGTCTCCCCGGACCCTGCATTCACTATATCCGGTCTCCCCGGACCCTGCATTCATTATATCTGGTCTCCCCGGACTCTGCATTCACTATATCCGCTCTCCCTGGACCCTGCATTCACTATATCTGGTCTCCCACAGTACACAGAACATGGAAATTTAATTATTTTAGTAAATATAAACTGCTAAATATCTTTTCTCATCAGCAGTATATAGCAGTCTTGTGACTTCTATCAGTGTTCAGCAGAGCACTGGTTAAAGCTTGTAGGAGGAGTTTTGTTTCTGCTCTAGGAGGATGCAGAACCCCTGACCTCTGTCTGGACAGTGCTGATTGGCCCTGTGCTGATCACATGAATTTTTAAAAAAACCCTCTAGCAATACACACCAAACTGAGCATGTGCAGAGTGTCTCCACACAATATATCTTATCAGGAGATAAGAGGGGGACATTGGAAGAAGGGGAGGATCAGAGAGGAGAGGATCAAACAGTATTTTTTACACAATGCAGAGGATTAACCCCTTAGGTTCCACAGTGAGTATAACTAGCATGCTTTACTGCATCTACAGACTGATTGTACTGTTGGGGGTTTGGTAACATTCTAGAGGATCTTCAGTCATTTTTTTTTAATTAAAAGTCAGAAGCTACA